TCAGAATTAATCGTCATGACAGCATACATCATTCATTAGCAACTGCAACCGATCGTTTTATTAGGAAACGTTACATTTGAATCCAGGCAAATCATCAATGGGGAACCTGAATGACGGCACCCTTTTAAGATTAAAATTTAATTAAAATTAAGATTAAAATGCGTTCAATCAACTTTTTTTTACCTCCAAGAAAGGTGACTTTCTGATCAACAGATACAATCTTTTCGTGGTGTGCCCAGTAGATTATACCTGAGCCTGGTAGATGRTCAGGGTGCCTCATAACCTGTTAACAAGTGACTTAGATAATCACATAACTAATTAGGCCAGAACGTATTAATAATTGATAATTAATAGTATAATAATGATAATGACGACTGTTTTATGTAAAATGGTGGGGTTGTTACCTTAATATTAGGATGTAATTGCATCAATGCAGCCTTTGTGTATGCACTGTTAATAGTTAATGCCATCTCGACCTCTTTGTACACCAAGATATACACCTTGACACCGCTCTCCTTCGTTAATAAAATAATGTTTTGATTTAAAAGTGTTTTGAATAAATGAACTGATTGATGGATAAATGGGACGTTGAAAAATTAAGTAAATTGACGAATAAATAGATGAACAATTAAATGAATGGATAAAGAAATGATTGAATAGATTGATATAAAAAATAGCCGAAAGGGATGTTCAATATCATAATCTACCAGTTTAAAACGATCGCCATTAATACGACCACCATGAGATTCTACTGGACGCAATAACGAGGTTCCACTATGAATAGCACGAACAACTTACTGCTTTTCTTTTCAGYAACTGATCAAGTCTCCAACGGTTCCCATGAGTTATTGGTCGTTTAAGATGCAGTTCAGGWGATACCCTGTCAACAAAACGACAAAATTGTTAAAGAAATCCCTTCGCTGCATATATACAGTGGATTAGTCATGACTCACCACCATCCAGCAATAAATATCTCTTCTTTTGCTTCGTCTATAGCATTYGCAACTGCCTCAAAATATGATGCTCCATCAACAAACCTATAAAAGGAACAWAGCAGAGCTTACGTTATGTTACGTTACGTTGTGTTAGCCTTACGTWACGTTGCCTGCACTTGCGTAAAAGTAGGCACCGTGATACAACTAATAATGTTCTTACCATCTAACGTAAGACGACTGTCGGACTGGTGCGAATGAACCATAAGGCTGTTCTCGTATCCATTCAGCACCGGACGTGGCCATGACATTGACAATAGATCTCATCCATTCACTGAAATGRTAACAGATCGAAATACAAAGTACTTCATTTACTTATTCATTCCCTCGTTACATTGTAATTCATCTTATCTATCCATCCAAACAGCCAATCATTCATTCAATCTCTCTTTCATTTATTGCCGGTTTCGTTTATAAGATTCTTACTTAGCTTTTCTGTCTGTCCAACATGAAAGAAGCAGTTCTCTGTTATAATTGAAGTTAACATTAGTATTTATCAACTTAGATATGAAATTGTTAAACAACAATACCTGGCTTCATTTCGAATGACAAGCCCATGTCGAACTTTGGTGTCTTTACTTCCATATTTGAATGTGAAATCTCTGTCTAAAAGAACCACACCGCTAACGTCTTTTGTCTTAGGACTAAAAAMGAAACAACASTTTCAAACGTCRTACGTAMTAATCTACGCTGATAAACRAACAGACTTACTTTATGTACGCMACAAAGCTATCTTTGACAATAAGCCATCTGCAACRAACGACGAATAAATRCGTCACGAATAACAAAAATAATGACATTTACTGACATTMTTGGGGTAATTTTAACCTTTTTGTCCAGTTACCACAGGACAACGCTGCRCTACAACTACAACAACCAGGAGGAAAGCGATGTCCACCGGAGCCCTTCTTGACTACCCCTTCCCTAGTGAGATAAAAACTACATTAATCACTAAGCGCGATAAAACTACACACTTCACACTCAGGCGTACCTTCGTTTATCTCCCAAATCATTCTTGAAAGAAAGGTGACTGACTTCCAAGAAATGAAGAGTTTCTTTATGATTACGGTAAGMCTTGTTCTTTAAAATGATCTGAAAGAGATTAGTTTTCAAGGATTTGTACTTTTATCCTGAAATAAAACATAAATTTCTGCTCGAAAAAACATTCTCTATTCTTTGTTTACATTGAGAAACCCTTCAAGTGCAAATAGAAAATCAGTTAAATGCTTAATTTGCTATTTTATAATAGACACTGAATTTTTATTTTTCTCAATATTTTATAACGTATAGAATATCACACACAATTTAAAAAACATAAAAGACAACAGAAAATCTAATTTTCAAACCATGACAAACAGAATTTTCTTGTTTTATGTACAAGATTTACAGCCAATCAGATGCTGTGATTTTGGCGCCAAAAGTACGACGCGCGCGCGTCGCGGTGTCGGCCATTTTCTCAAGAACCAACTGAAGTTCTCCCGTTTTGGACTCAAAGGTACAAAAAAATCTTTTTTTAAAAGTACAAACTGAGAAAATAACTCAAGATTTCCTAAATATATTTATTTCTCAGGAGAAAGAAAAGAGATAACCTTAAGAATTAGAAGAATTTCGTGTTTTTGTCAGGAAAAGTCACTTGTCTGTGAATGGAACAGAAAGGTAAGCTAACGTTCAAAACTAAACTACTTAAGAGTCCTTACATCAAATTAGCGATTATCTATTTTTTTCAAACGAGCAAACAAAGACAAGAAGTAATTTAATAGAAGAAAGGACTTTGCTACAACACACATGGAATGAAAACTCAAAAATTTTGTAGAAGAAAAGAGGATGATAACATTTGGATAGTCTGACCACTATGACCAAATCCTCTTTATATAGTAATTAGATAATATCAATAAATTAAATGGTTTCAAATATCTGTTAATGTTACCCTTAARTATTTTTCAATGGCTCTTTTTCTCCTGTCCATATTTGTTGTTCTTGCTAGAGGGTCAGGTCTATGAGGGAGATGTCGGCGGGGAAGGTGCTCATGATGGCCTCTTGATGCTGAAGTATGTTGTCTTCTGGGGTCAATTGTTAGAAGAAAAAGTTCAGCATCTAGTTTTAGGAAGTGTTTGAAGCGTCTTCGTATTGTCCATTCATATCCACAGTGTGTCAGTTTTATGGTATACCTAAAAGTARTTTACAAGAATTTTATTTAGAGTCTTTACTGGACCTTATATAAAACTATATTAATAATTCATAAGACAGCAATACCAAGGACAATCATAGACACAAGAGAATCTACAATTAGTAAAAGATCCTCCTGATTTGCATACAACTTGAACTTGAATTTTCTATAGGATTGATTAGCAAAATTTYAAATACTTACAAATTTGGGTTAAATGGGTGTGTTCTGGGCATCCTTTCAACATCTATAACCTCTGCAGTAATCTCATGACCAGGAATAAAGTGTTCCTCTACCTTACTACTTTCAGGCAGACTATATAGTGAAGCTGCATATTCTGTACTTGATAAGTCTGATGCAAGCCATAYTGAACCAGTATCTTTATCAAACATGACATGGTATCAAATTAAAAGCATTGAATCATTTGTATAAAATATGATGTAAATGAAACCTCTGTTATATGAAAGTATCAGAGGTTTCTATGTGATATAGAACCATGTATGACATGGAGGTACCAGTAATAGAGGCACCATTTACATCTTTTTTATGATAGAGGTGTTAATTGGCCATGAGGCCTCTACCATCCCACTTGAGCTATCTCTCACATTTCAAAGTGTTTTTGCTCTGAAATTAATCCTTAGGTAATGCATATAAAAGAAAATTATGGTCCATAAAAAATAACGAGATCAATAGCAATGAAGAAATGGCATGCTTTTGGCTGGTAGCAAAGTCCAATTAGCAGTGCCCTTTGTTGCATATCTTCAATGTCAGTGATTTTATTGTCTTTTTAGTCTAGTTATTATGCAAATTTTTTTAATTATTTCTCGTATATTTTATAATAAAATGATTTTGTGAGACTGACCTAGTACATTGATCGAGAATATTATCATCAAAATTATTATTGTTTATATTGTAGACCAGAAACCAGCACTTGTTTTACATTATTTACACAGAAACCATACTTGAATATAATATGTGAAAACTTTGTGAATTTGCAATTTAAAATTGATTTTATTATTGGTTTTATTTGTTGTTTCAAAGTACATTGAATTAACCAAGAAATGAACAATTCAGGATGTCATCAAAACTTAAAAATAATAAAAAAAATAATAATATAAGACTTAACTCACGCAAATTATACACAAAATATTATGAATTTTAAATTACAAGAACGACACCAGTCAAGTATTGAACTTGGTTCAAACACTGAACTCTTTGCTTGATGTATTAGATATAGCATTATAATGCATTTAGAAATGTTTTGATTTCATAATTCAAAAATACGCTACAATTTTCATTCATTTCAGATCGCTATCGGGATTGAAGTCCAATACCAAGACGTCTTTTAGAACAAACGAATTCAAACTTTGTTTACACAAAATTCTTAATCTTGAGATAGTGTTAAAATCCTTATTAGGGGAAAGACTAACAGCTGAAATAAACACAAGTAAAACTAATTACAAAGTAAGCTTATTACAGATCTATAAAACGTCCTAAAGTATAAGATGATAASCTTTCAAAATTGCTGGTATTCAATGACTTGAATGCGTACAATATTTCCTACCTTCAACATCAATTTCATCCTTACTTAGAGGAGTATTTTTATAGGACGTAGTTTTGATATCTTCTAACGACTGATCCATAGTGATTTTAACATTATTYACGAAGTCAAAACAGTTTTAGACATCTYGCAGCTGTGTGCATGGACCGGCAGTGTTCAGCTTGGAACTTCTATGCCAGCTCAGCTGCAAGKCTTACTAACACAGGGACCCCAAAAATAACTATTTGCTAAAACATYTATTTCTGAAGCTTTATTGAATCCATTCGTGCTTAAAAGATATTTAGATTACATCAATATTATCGCACAACTATCATCAAACCATTATTACCTTGTATCACTCAACTGCTATAAATTATCCTAGTTCTATGGGATACCTGTGTAGACAACACAGGGAATCCACTTTTGAGGTCCAATCATTCTGCTTTTACATATATGTAATATTGTCATTCTTTGAAACAGGCACTGTCAAGAGCATTCTCTAAATGAAGGATTGAAAGTGCAGGCAGATAAGAGTGCCCTATGATTTTTAATTTTTTAAAAACACTAAGTTGGGTTTACAAGAAAGACATGCCAGGTAAGAAAACWAATTTCCATATCATGATAACTCCTTCCCCTACTGGAGAACCCTGTGGTATCCCTTTTTGATTTGTTCATTAATTTTCAACACTGCTTGCATTTGCACTCTGAGCTGCAAACATTTAGCTGACTAGTTTGTGCTTGAGCCTGTTTCATGGGAATGATGCTTTTTGCACACAAAAATGTGACAGACATTTATGCATTGTTTCACTTTTTTATTCTAATTCGTWCAATWCTCTGACATTTTTGTGAAAATCTGAAAACTTTAAAACTTGATTCATTCACATTGCAATTYAGTTACATTTTTAAAAATACTAGTATYAATTTAAAATTTGCTGTTCTTCCTTTGTTGCCATAATTGCATACGATCTTGGAGATTTGACTGGGTCAAACAGTGCTACAATTCTTGCATTACCCACTCCCTAAAACAAAGAAGATGTAATATAACAGTCTCGTCTGCAACRACTCCTGCACTAATACCAATATCCACCTTAGCAGCCTATTAGAGTTGGGCTTCCTGTGCCATCACACAAAAGCCTTTGTCCCTTTGTGCTCCTTTTGTTCATTTTTTTTATCATTTTTTTTTACATTTAGTTTCATCATTCCCTTACAACACAATGAAGTATAAYCAAAATTACTTACTTGCTCAAGAAGATAACACAGTCTGTCAATCAAAAACAGACTTTCAATACAAGGTGCTATACATGCTCTCAGCTGAAACCCAAATAAATGCTTTAAATTAGCACAGGTTTACATTTAAAAATTATAAGAAATAATTATTTGGTTGTAGGATATTATTCACCTGATGGAATGCCATTATCTGATATTCTTGTTCTTCAAATCGTTGATAAAAAGACTCAATTTCCTCATCTGTGATCTGTAAAAATTTAAATATCATAYGTCAATCCCAAATGAATAGAATAGAATTATGATAAGTTTTGCAGCCATTATTCAGGCATTTTTAAGTAATATATACAATATGAGCGGGCGATCTGTATGAGGATTTAAAACAGCGAGCTGAAAGCGAGCTGTTTTAAACCTCATACAGATTGCCCGCTCATATTGTATATTACTTATGAAACGTTGAGGTAAACTAGCTCAGGTTTTAAAGAAACTTTTGAAAAAAAATTCAATCTGACTGAGAAAATCAGAGTAAAAGTTTATGCAAATGAACAAGAAATCTGTATGTAATATACAACTCTCTTCATGGGCTATGATTTCTATTGTGTTTTGCCTTATGAATATTAATGAGTTTTATAAGTGCTATTGTAGAGTGCCTAGTTATTTATTGAATGGCCTGTGTCTCAGAGAGCACAGTTAAACTAGAGTGGATTTTGTATGACTGTGCAACGGCATGTATCACAACACGGACACGGCACGAAAGTAGCATTTTTTTTTCACAGTCATACGAAATCCACTCTAATGAAGTTACCTGATCACATGACAAGTCAAGTTTCTTGAATGATTTGTTAATATATTCCTGAAAAGATTTGCATTTGGCTCCAATTCTTCCAACATGCATCCCCCTAAAATCATAAATCAGTTAATATAACCTGCAGGTTGCTGGAATTTATCTTTTCCGAACAAAATGATTACTCACGTAGTATCCAAGCCAAACTTTTCTTTTAATATGACCTGTTATTAACATGTTTATGTAATTAGACATGCTATTATTAGTATCTATAAGTTTTTTATCATACCTGTAATATGGAGCGGTATAGTATGCTTTTTGGTGGAATCTAAAATTAGACAATCATGATTTATTTTTACAATCACTGATGTATTAACACAATCAGAACATAGTCTTCTTCACGGTTCCCTGCGCCATCTTGAAAGGTAGCCATGCCTTTGCATCGAAGTGAGACAACCGTTGAGCGTGCAATGATAGAAACCTAGCTTCTTTCACACCTACAGACAATTATTCACAGGTTTCTATCATTGCACGCTCAACGGTTGTCTTGCTTCGATGTAAAGGCATGGCTACCTTTCAAGATGACGCATGTAACCATGAAGGAGACTATTGTAATATAACAAAAACAACCCACCTTGCCAGCAGATGCAAGTCTATCAGCAGCCTGTAAATAATAACTATAATAGTGAACAGATCAAAATGACAAAAATATTTTTTAGGTGCATTGTCAACGTTACCTGCTGTGCAACCATTGTTGCATTCCTGCTTAGTCTGAAATTCTCCTTTTTCAAGTATTCACTGACTGGAAAGCCATATTCATTAACTAAAATATCATATAGTTTGACAACATTAGTTTCCCATTATATATCTGTAACAATTCTACAGTCCCATCGACTCAAATAAAGATTGAATGATTGAAATATGATTGATATCAGTATACTGCTCAACTCTCAATATTAACCTAGTTAACTACTGTATTAACATTAAACATTATGCAAACCAGCTCTAAGCAAGGATAACTACCTAAGCCAAGAAAATACCACTTAGGCCTGCTCATTATCATACACTGATTCAATTGATAATTGTTTATGTCACACTCAGCCTCAATCAATTATTGTTATAGTATATTTTAAGGCAATTCTTTTTACCTTCATACTCCTCTTGTGGTGAGGATTCTGTACAAGTTGGTTGAGAGAGTAAGTGATAGCAACATCCAACAAGACAAAGACCTTTCACATGACAGTCATTCAAAAATATCTTTATTGCTGTAGGTGCAAGGTCTCCACAAGTATGTAAGCCAACAAGAACAAGTCTTTCCTTGCTTTCTTTGTCTGTAAGACTACCAAGCTGTTGTACTATCTTTATTTCACTACTGACAAACCCAGTAATAGCTTGGTAAGAAGTTAATTTACTTGATTTTGTAATATAAGCATCAATGTTACCAGCATTTTCACTGCTTGATGCCTTGCTATTAATACATGTATCTAATACWGTTTCATTTGAATTATCATTTGACATACCACATATTGTGGATGAATCATTTGTTGTGCTAACACTCATACTGTGTGCTAGATCAGTGTTATTTTTATCTCTTGTTTGTAAATCAGTTATTGCCGTAGAATCTCTCTGTGTTATTGTGTTGATAGGGCTATTTTCCCTTTCAAGGACATGATCACATATAGTTTCACCATCATTATGTTTGGTCAATTCAGCTAAACCTCTCTCAGTATCACCACCAATTTTTGTATTGACTTTTTTAAGGAGGAAATGCCAGACTTTTAATGTTTTTGTGTTTCTCTTTTCAGCATTCTTTGTATTTGAATCACTAGAATCCACACCAACAACATTAATATGGTGTCGCAAGGATAAGTACTGGCTAAGATAGCCTTTTCCACTGCCAAGATCAATAACCTACACAAAGAAATGAGATGAACACCATTACCAGGTACATAATAACTTTTACCAAACCATGATCAGTGTACCTAAGTCAATCATACAGTAAATCAAGACTTTAATTCATCAGTATGATATGGCTGGAGTTGATGTAATAAATACTAACATGAATATYACTGTGGCAACCCTGCACAATAGCCGATTTATTTTCGCCTCACTAGTCAAACACAAAAGGATCAAGACAAGGCGGCAAGGCCTGCATAAAGCTCAGAGTCAATTGTGAAAAACTATTGCCTTCTCACRAATGACTGGGCTTTATGYRYGGYGCCTCWTCTTGATTCCTTTGTGTGTGAMTATCSAGGCGAAATTCCCAAGTCGGGTATTGAGAACAATGTCTTTATACCACCAGTAAGATGATAATATTATACTCACCTGACATGCTTACCAGGAAGAGATAGGAGGGGGATATCAATAATGGCAAACAAAGTATTTGCCTTGAGGATTGACTAAGCATCATGCAACCATCATTATGGCTGATGATAATTTGTTGCATAGATGTTTACGTTGTACAGCATTTGATTTTTCATGTTGTACTTACAGTTCATTAGCACTTTGCTGAATGCTCTCCAGATAGTCCGAAAAAAAATGTTTTTACATAGAAAAGCATGCAAGAAGAGTATTTTTCTTACCTTTGTCGCTTTGGTATTTTGTAMTATATCATGAACAGCTTTTGACATTACTCCGACTTCGTACGATTTCTTAGGAGACATCATAAACGACGTCAAAACACTGTCTTCAGCTAATCCTTCAAAATATTCACTCTTTTTTACGTAAGATAAAGTCTTTAAGTGGTGGTTGCGTATATCAGTAAAAAGCTTTAGTAGGCTAGAACAACGAGTTAAACTTCCAACTGCAAGATCGTCGGGCCTTTCTATCCACTGAATGCACTTCGATGGCAGAGATGCGATTTCGTCTTCAGATAGTTTTTCAAGATCATCGCGAATCTCTTTRGGCAAGCATGTCTCCCACAAGTTCTTAGTAAAGAAATCAACATTATGAGCATTGATGATCAGTAATTTTGAAGCCAGGAACTCTTTCATGCGATGTAAATCTGATTTTACATGGTYAAGATGCATCTTCTCGTCCGCCATCTTGAAAAACTAGATAGTTCATATTACGATCACCAATTTCCTCTTTCCAGTCTTCCTCAGATGATGAAACACAGGAGCTCCAAACATCCTCTTTACTGCTCTATATTTCACCATTTTGYAGTGTACTTTATATTCTGGGACCTTTATTCACTTTCACCAAGTCTTATTTGAGATATTTCCTCAGATTGAAGTAAGTCGAACTTCAGTTTTTATGTATTGCGTGACATCTTGTGTTCCGTGACAAGGAAAGGATCATGTCCTCTTTGCAAGACAACATGTATGAACAGTAAACATATATATTTTTACGTCGCTACAAATGCTGCAAAACCTTTGCAAAAGATGACAAGTCACATACCCATCGTTGATTTTAGTGCATTTAGCATTGACAAACAACCAAGACCGGACGTCAATAGCGCTGAAGTACAGCAGTTGGCCAAAGAGATATATTCTGCGTTTAGTACAGTGGGTTTTGTGTAYCTCAAAAACCATGGCATCACCTTGGATAAGGTAAATGATTTATTGAATTATAGTAAGAGGGGGAAACAATTCATAAAAGTTCTGAAAATCGCTCCAGAGATTACCAGTAGTTATAATAATGCACACAATAAGTAGCGAAATTTCATGTATTTATGCCACTGATAAATCAACTGTTTAAACATAGATTCATGATCACATACATTCTCTTATATCAAGTGAAGAGCTTGGGCTACCCGTGATAGAGATAGGTGCGCGTTTAATAGCAGTGTTCAGTAACAGATCTAAATATCAACGCTGTAATTTTCAACCTTTATAGCAACAAAAACATGCAAAAACGTAGTATAAAAAGCGTTAAACCAAGTATTGTAACATGATAGATGTATTTCCATAATCTTGTTTTATTTCACGAGGTGGATCAAGTATTATCAAAGACTGACTCCTTCTTTGGTCTTAGTAAAGACATCAAGTCACGTTATCGTATTAATCTGAAAGGTGACTCGCCTTATGGATGGGATGAGCTGGAGAGACAAACGTATGTTATTTTGCACGTTTTATGATACTGTTGTAACCTTTGGATAAATAATATTTGTCTTTGGTGATCTTAGAAACACGTCACAAATGAGACAAAATGGGGTCATCTGAGAGTCTGTGGGACACCAAACTCACCAAGGAATGCCATTCAATTACTTCCATTCATTTTCCCCCTCATCTATCCATTCATTTAACCATCCATTCAACAAATTATGATTTTTGATAGAACGGGAGTGTTTCTTATTGGCTTTTGAAATTGTTACAGTTGTGTTTGTGGCTTTTGTTTTATTTCATTGTTTCATACTATTTAGTGTTAACCCAGAGCGACCTCCAGATCTCAAGGAGTCTTTTGACATTGTGTCTGCAGCTCTGGAAAATAAATCACTGGTAAAGCCAATTCATCAAGTCATTATAATGAAAGTCTTTCTGGTATTGCGCACCAGAGGGAAAATTGAAATTGTGAATGGTTGCATGTTGAGGGCATGTGTGTAAGCTCTTAGTCAGTCAAATTGCGCATAGTACTCCAACAGTTGCGTGAAAAAATTACTGACGTTTTGGACGTTAATCCTACGAAACATCAGCAAGTTGTTTCACCTTACGAAGGATTAAAGTTCGAAACGGTTTACCTACTTTTTTTACGGTGTTTTTATCTTTTCACACAAATGTTTCTTTTCTGTTTCTCACACTAGTTTACCGCTATAGTAGCCACCATAGTATTCCAAGTCGATGGTGATAATAACTAAATTTTATTTTTCCTTGGCACATCTTTCTGTTTTCTTATTTTTAGTCACTGTATCTGTCTATTTGTACAGATTTGGCCAGATGATGTGCTGCCCAACTTCAAGCATACCATCGTTGAATTTCAAATGACCTGTCAGACTCTAGGGATGAGAGTACTTGAAATCTTAGCCATTGGATTAAATCAGGTAATCCACGTGTGTTCATTGACGAATTAGCGATGTGACGTCAAAAAAAGGCTAAAAAAATGTTCAAAGACAAAAAAAACGCTCTTTTATTTTCAAGGAACCTGATGTTTTTACAAGAACTTATAAATTGATGGGAAAGCCAGGAGGGGGAACACTGCTCCGTTTTAACTATTACCCCAGAATATCTAATAATATCCAAGTTAAACCTAATCAAATACGCTTTGGAGAGCATACTGACTACGGAGCAATTACTCTCCTTTTTCAAGACGACGCTGGCGGACTTGAGGTATGTAAAGGCAAACAGTGACAATCAAAATATTTACGTCTTTTAGGTATATTTGATTTTGATTTTATAATATTTTTTTTCTACAATTCATAACTGACAGGTGGGTACAGTAGACGGCAAATATGTACCAGTCACGCCCATCCCTGGTACAATACTGGTTATTACTGGCGACTTGTTGCAAAGATGGACAACAGACAAACTGAAGGCAGCTGTAAGTCATAACTTGCCTAGCGGCCTAACTGATAGGGCTAAATTTGTCGAATATGGAAAGATATACCCTCTGCTAATGTAAGAAGTACAATTACCAGTTTTCAAAAGATTTCTTTTAAGAAAGTCTCTTTCCCATCTTCTCTTTCTTCTTCTTTTCCATTTAATTACCTTTCTTCACCATATTTGCAGCCTCACCGTGTTGTGATTCCTGAGGATGAAATCAAAAAGAGGAATGCACGTCGTTCTATTATTTTCTTCTGCAATCCTGACTTTGCATCAACCATTACTTGTTTGGATGGATCGGACAAGTACCCGCCGGTTAACTGTGGAAATTACCTTCAGGAATTGAACAAGAAGACTTATAATGAACTGTAGGAATAGCATTGTAATACGCTGTTTCTCGACAAACAACAGCAAATGTTAGGGACTGCGCAATATTTATCAGGAGGGGGGTAGGGGTTGAGAATCTAGAGTGGGGGTACAACATCTAATTCTATGTGCTTAAAGAGGAGAGTCACGTCTAAAATTAACTAGAACTTTAATTGGAAACTGAAAAATGAACGTGTCAGATTCGAAAACTTCTCAAGAAAAGTGCGTGCCACGATTTGCAACAACATTTTCTTCAATAACAAATAAATACATTCACGGGGGGACAGAGCGTAATTTAATTCATTGGCGAGGGTGGGTAGTAATTACCTTTTTACCAAAAACCCCGGCATCTCTGCTAAAGATGAGGATCACAAGTCCCAAGCAAGTCATAGACCACAACATTCACAACATTCACAACATTCACAACATTCACAACATTTGCAGCATTCACAACATTCACAACATTCACAACATTTGCAGCATTCATTGATGGCCTGATTCACATGCAATTCTCCATTTCCTATTTTTATGTATTGCGTGACATTTTGTGTTTCGTGACAAGGAAAGGATCATGCCCTCTTTGCAAGACAACATGTATGAACAGTAAACATATATATTTTTACGTCGCTACAAATGCTGCAAAACCTTTGCAAAAGATGACAAGTCACATACCCATCGTTGATTTTAGTGCATTTAGCATTGACAAACAACCAAGACCGGACGTCAATAGCGCTGAAGTACAGCAGTTGGCCAAAGAGAT